ATATATATATATATATATATATATATATATATATATATATATATATATATATAAGACAAAAAAAATAAAAATTTATTTTATTTATAAAATGCGGAAAAACTTCTCTTTACAACGCAATTACAAATGAAAACTATGGTACTAAATATTCCTAATCAATCTATCATAAGTACTACGCAGTAGCTCAAAAATCCGTTTATCGAACCATGCAATCAAAATCTGTCTCTTCACGATCAGACTCAGCATACTTTTCCTTTAAGCTTCCTTTCTTTTCTTCGATCCTACAAAACATCGAAATGCAATCTTATCATCATACATTAAAAATCTACAAATAGGAACTTAATAGAGGTAGATAGTGGATTTTACCAGAAGCAGAGTCATACATCTTGACTCTCCCATCCTCGTGATCTTTCAAGTAAGCGTGGCAGCTTCGCAACCAATGTTCCTTGTCTTGGCAATAGAAGCAAACATACTCTTTTTGAATAGAAAATGGGATAATTTCAGATTCAGGCTTTCTCTTTACCATTCGGTCAAACGTTTTGACCTTGTCCGATCCCTTTCCATTAGGAAGAGAAGACTTTTCTGGTCTTCCAATGTTACCATCGTCAATATCCACGAAAGTTTGTGAGGTTGAACTACCAATCAAATTTTCTTTACCAATGCGCCAAATCATTACTGATTCAACAACAATTAGCAAATAGGTGAGATCGATAAGGGTTACCTTGAGGTCCTTCATATAGTAATCTTTTATAAACTCACTATATAACTTAGGAAGTGATTGAAGAATCAAGTCAATAGTCAGCTTCATTGAGACATCGACACCCAACATTCCCAATATGTCAATATGTAACTTCATCTCCAAGACGTGAGCACATATAGACTTTCCATCTTCGTGTTTGATTGCCAATAGGGCTTGAGTGACCTTAAACTTTCAAGACGACGAACACGTAGGTCAGGGAGAATTAATGGATGAGGTGGAGGAAGTGAAGAGCGATTTATGTTTCCATGATCCAATCGTGGAACATCATCTTCATGTGGAAAGCTTTTTCCAAAGGATTCAGGAAGACCATAGTTGTTAGAATTTGACATCTACAAAAAGGAGAAATTCAAATTAAGTTGATTTAAGTCCTTAATATAACACCCAAATGAAATATTAAGGCTAGGACCCAACAAATTATTCTACAATTTGGAAGAGGGATGTCGTAATACAATTTCAAAAATTTTAAAGGTAGGTAAATGACGATTTAATAATTCCCACGATGAAAAATGAAAATGAATATTAGGTCTTAAACGAATTGAAATTCCTAGATTTGTTGAGATTCATTGAACTTTTCAATTGCATGTTTAATCTTGATTACGCCCTTCAAGTTTGTGACTAAGATGCCGAGGATCACAAACAAGGTGTGAATAACCATGCAAATTAGTTTGGTACTCTTGAAGATGTTTATCACCTAATCAATGTGTTGGTTAACCACACACGCTCCATTGATCTATGATAATCTACGAACTACCCATTGCCATCTTTCATTAGTCTCATATTACTGTGTCGGTTAACTACACACACTCCACTAACGACCAACAAGGTACAATGTGTAATTTCATGGATTAGCACCAAATTCACATTTTTCCTAAATTAAATAAGATTTTGGGAATTTATAAAAGTGTTTACTTACTTCGTATTTCATTATACTTATAATGGAAGGTTGTGTCCTCTCCTACCCATTCAGCTGACGGCCCTCCACTAGTCAAGGGTGTGGTGGGTAAGAGTGGATACCTAATGACGGTCATTTTATAGGTCGCTTCTTTAAACACCCCTCATTGACCAACTTCGTGAATGAAGTCTACTAACGATAATATTGACCTTTCACTTATACATATAGTATATTAAACTTTTAATTTTGTATAGTATAAGGATGTATTTTATACATTTAGAACACTAAGTGGTTTAATCTATTAATAAATTATAATTTTAATTTGATTAAACTTAAACCATATTATTATGGATTTATTAATTCTATCTTTTAATTAAACACTTAATTAATTTAATAAAATCTATTAGGGTGTAATTTGAACTTTTCAAAATATTAGGGTTTTAGAATTTAATATTTCAAAATTAATATATTTCAATTAAATTTTAAATTCCAATACTTGAGGATAAATTTTGAAACTTTTCAAAATATTAGGGTTTAACTATTTAAATTTCAAAACTAAAACTTTTAATTTCAAATTTAAACTATAAAACTTAAAATATGTAATTTAAAGTTTTTCAAAATTACCAGGTTAAATATCTGAATCAAAATAATCTTATATCATCCATATTTAACCAAACCCACCAATTTTGATAAGGATATCTCACACCAATCATAAATAAGATGGAAAACGAGTTTTTGTAATTATCCTAATACAAAACTGACCAAAAAATCGAAAATCCTGGCATCAGATCACTGGACTCATCGAGTCGACAATGGAACTCGTCGAGTTCAAGCAACTCGTCAAGTCTACACATGGACTCGTCGAGTAGACCTATCACACAACAAAATTTTTGACTTTTTGATCTTTCGGCAGTTTACTTTTGCATCTATTCAGTAGAAAAACGACCTAGGCTCAGATACCACCGATGAGCATAACATCATTCCTATGGTATACATGCAACCCTAATTTCTTTGGATCTAGGTTTCTCTAATTTGAACATACAACTATGAATACCAAAGCAATAACCCTATAACTAGCATACATATATCGAAAATCACATATGATTAGGGTTAGAATCTTTACCTCTCTTGTTATGTAGCAATAAAAAGTTGAATCCTTCTTGATCTTGACTTTTGAAAGCCTAATGCCCCAAGTGTTGCACCTCTAATGGAGTCACAAACACCCAATGCAAGGAGGATGACTTTAGAGAGAAGGATTTCGGCTTGGGTTTATTTCTTGAGTGCTTAGGCTGAAAATCCCCTTGTATAGGGTCCAATATATAGTTGTGGTTGCTAGGGTTTTTTAGGTGGAAACCCTAATACCTAACTTAGGCAACAAACAGTCCATGAACTCCTTCCTTAGAGCCCATGGATGAAATTTAATGGGCTTCCCCATAAATTTCGTCCACTCCACTCTACGGAGTCCATTAGCCAATTATGCAACTATCAAAGATTTGCATAACAGTCCCCCAATTATTTAATCAGTCTCTTTTGGTTACCAAATTAATTCCAAATTAATTTCTAATCAATACTAATTAAATAATATGATTTCCAAATAATATATTAATTTTGTAATATATTAATAAAACCGTTTTGAGTCCCAATTTATTATTCATATAATAAATTCTACCCTCTATCCTCCTGTCATCCTATCAAGTTGCATGAGTGAAGGCAACCCAAAAGGACCATGTTCATACTCAAATCAAGTACATAAAAAAATAGTTATGAGCTTAGACACCTAATCCAACAGGTCTTACTGTTAGTTATTCACTTACCACTATGGCTTTGATAACATCTTCCTTCTCCTCTTTGTTGATGATATAATCCTTAATGCTTCTTCTTTCGCTCTCATTTCCTGCATCATTAGATGTATTTCATCTGAATTCTCATGTTCGATTTAGGTCCTCTTTTTTCTCTCGAAATTGATACTTCTCGATTCGACAAAGATATGCTCTTATCTCAGACCTCCTTTACTATTAAAATTCTTTCTCGTGCCGATATGTCCTCCTACAATCCGTGTAGTACTTGTCGGTGGTACTCCTGTCTCTGACCCTATCCTTTATCGGAGCCTTGTCGGTGCTTTGCAATATCTTATATTCACCCATTCTGATAGTGATTATGATATTCACCAAATCTGTTTATTCATGCATGATCTATGTAAACCTTACATCGTTGCTATTAATGATATCCTTCGCTATCTCCACCGTACATTGTCTCATGGTTTGTCTAATTAGCGATCCTTTATTGATCGCTTGGTCACTTATTCCGATGTTGATTGGGCCGATAGTCCTCACACTCGCTGATCACTTCTAGGGTCAGTGTTTATCTTGGCAACAATCTAATCTCTTGGTCCTCCAAACATCAAAATGTTGTTTCTCGATCACCATCTGAGGCTAAGTAATAACGAGTAGAAAATGTGGTTGTTGAAGCTGATTGGCTTTATAATCTTCTTCTCGAGTTATCATGTCCATTATGTAAAGTTACAACAATGTGAGTGTCATGTATATGTCTTCTAACCATGTACAACATCAACATACCAAGCATGTGGACATAGATGTACATTTTGTTAGGGGACGTGTTGTCATTGGGAACATGTATGTTTTGCACGTGCCATCGACTCATCAATTTGTAGATATTTACTAAGGGTCTTCCTACTAAGTAAATTTTAAACTTTCAGGACAGTTTTAATAATTTCAAATCTCATGCTCATACCGAGTGGTGTTTAATTTATACTCTTTTTTATATGTCTTTTATAGTGTAGGGACCACATTGTAACTTTCTTTTATACATATATATATATATATATATATATATATATATATATATATATATATATATATATATATATATATATCGGTCGCTTTTCCATAAATAACAGTTTAGAAAGTTAAATGGAACATATTTAAATATCTAATTAAGAATTAAAAAACTTTTATTTTTTCCATTGAATTCCAAATTAATTAAATATTAAGGTGACATTTCACAATAAGTAAAGTTTTATGCTTGAATGACAACTAGACTTGCTAACTCATTCTTCCATTGACTCTCCATTATGAATGCTCTAAATGGTCTATACAAGAGTAGGGTGTCATTCTTCCATTGACTCTCCATTATGAATGCTCTAAATGGTGTATACAAGAGTGAGGTGACATGGTCTGAGCTATACAAAATAGTGAAATACAATACAAATGCTAACATTTATGACCAAACTTATAAATTCTCATTTTATTACCACCAGTAAGATAATAATAATAATAATAATAATAATAATAATAATAATAATAATAAATAAAAAAGATAAACCAAATTTATGTACCATGCTGCAAACATTTATTTTATTTCAATAGCTGTGTAATGGTTACATTTGGTATGTGTAGAAACAATAATACAAGCTGTATGTATGTGTAGGGAACAAGAGGGGTCTTCTTTTATGTTGTGTGGTATGGCAATGAAGGATAAGAGCCAAAACTCAGGTCAACTGGGCCAATCTCCCCTCTCTCTTCCAATCTCTTCATCTTCACTCCTTGAGTAGCATTTCCCATCTGCCATCGATTAAATTTTGTCATTAACTACCAAATTTTTAGGTACCATATAATATGCAATTATTATATTCCATTTTCCATAAAATATATGTACAATAAAACTCACATATAATCTGATGAGAGTATGTTACGTTACTCGAATATCTTTTAAATAATTACATAATTGATCATTTATGAAACAAAGTTACTTTTAATATGATTATTGTAATAACTAAAAGTCAAATAAGAGTTTATTTGGATGTATTTTGTCAATTTGTGTATCCACTTATCGTGATTTAAAGTAATAACTAATAATTACTTAATTTTCAATGTTTGAGTAAAGTAATATTGTCAATTTTGATTAGTTTGTTTTCTAGAAAATCAGAATTAGTTTTGATTATCTGATATGATCAAAGAATTAGTTTTTGTTAACGAGTGCATTAATAATACCTCCAACAATGAAAGAAAATTACTATATTATCCTCATTTTAACCATATAACCTTTTATAATAATAAAATAATGGATAATATATACATAAGCTTACTATGATAGCTCAACTTTGTTTTTTAATAATTTAATAATACAAGAGCATGTCCTTTTCAACATTTTAGTTATTAAATTATTTTAATTTTACGATTACTTGAAACTAGTTATTGGTTATTATCATTTCAAATAACAAAAACACATTCCAATACTATTAAAAGAACCCTCTACATAAATTACCTGTAATATATCCATCTGTTTTGAGTCTGACGAATCGAAGCTGTGGAATATGCTTGCTTCAGTAAGCTTCATAGATAGAAACTGAAACACACATCAAATATTTGAGTTATTTTACATATTTAAAGTATTTTCTATTTTTAAAAAGTTTAATACAAATCATTCAAAAATATATTAATCATTTGGGTTCAAAAAACTCACTTCCACTTGATTTTGCAACGACTGCACATAGTTGATTATCTCATCCAACATTACCGCCATTCCCATCGACTGTAAATATATACAAAAGTAATCCAGTTAACTCAGGAAAATGAAACACGTGTACAGTAAAATCTAGCGAAACATACCGAAAATGTAATTTTACCATTGATTCTATTTAGAAATTTACCTTGTAGCATCCTGGGACGATATCTTGCAAGCATCTCAAACGTTCGTTGATTTTTCCTCTTCTAACCTAAACCCATATAGCAAGAAAAGCTTAGTTTTTGTATATATTTGACAAAATGTGATAAAAATATTCGTTTATGTACAATTATATACTTTTCTTCTAGATAGTAATGTTACTTTTGCTAATTTTGAATAAATAGCCAAAGTTTTGACCTTACCCTTTCTGCTATACTGTGACTATCAGTTGCTTGGCCCCTTCTTGCTCTAACGTGTACCACTTCCTTTGGTGCTTCCTCATTTTCACTCGCTTTAACTTTCTTTCCTTTTCCGGAATTCTATATAGAATGAAATCAAGAAAATTATTAAGTATTAATTAAGTAAAAGTCCTAGAAAGATAAGTAATTAATTACCATGCATGTGATCTAGCTTTTTGCTACAAATAAACTATCATTTTTACGACGTTTGTCGCATGCAACATGTGTTAGATTTGAACAGTGAAAGCTGCAGTTCTTCTATACCTGGTATTTCTTTTCGTTAATCTCATTTTCTGGAACTGGGTGAGACGATGAATTCCCTGAGCTGCTTGCTGAAACATCCATTGATTTTCTCTTCCCATTTATGGATGGACCTGTGGCAACGGGGTCGTGAATCACCATGATATTCTTTTGTTCATATTGAGAAACTGGTTGAAAGCTTTGAGCGAATTGATGATCAAATGGTGGTAATACTTGTTGATACAAGAAATTATCATTTGAAAACCCCATTAAGCTCTGAGAATTCAAGTTTGGATTGTCATATTGGACTGAAAATTGGTTGAGGAATTCCATGCTTTGATCGATGTCTATGAAAGAATATGAAGGTTTACGACTATGGAAATTTGATGTGAAACCCTCCATATATGAATCTTATTTATAATACAAAGCTTGTATTAAATTTGCCGAAGAGGGTTGTCATTGCAAGTTGTGTGTGGTCGCCCTCTCTCTATATATATGTGCTATTGTCTTTGTCTCTTTGTACAATTAAAGTATTTTTTAATCTTTTCTTTTTTGGTTTATTTAGAAAATATAAGGCCACAGGACATTAACATATACAGCTTTTTTAACGATGTAACAGATACACATGTTAATGAACTTAATAATCTATGTCAAATTGCAGCGTCAAAATGAAGTGTCAATTTGCAATTGCCAAAATGTCACATGTCGGTAAAAGAAGTATACATCGAAGGTCTTTTGTGTGTTATCCGAAACGATTCAAATTAAAGACTTGATAGAGATAGTCTTTCAGAGGGCCACGTGGAAATTCCAGCTTCTTTGGTTATGTTCCCTCTGTGGGTCCTGTTTCAGGAGATATATCTATAGCATAGGGCCCATCATTTGTTTCTTGCTTATTGTATAATATTTGGTGCCCATCAAAAGCAAATATATAAAAATGGAATATAATGGTAGTCACTAATCAAAGAGTTGGTGGGTTGTTCTTTTTCATTAAAGTTTAACGTTCCAATGCATGTATCCATTGGTATGTTAAGTGATTTTGGTCACAAATCGCTAATGGATTTCAAGGTGATCAACAAAGAGATTTGTTGACGGATATATGGGCCACGCTCAAGATTGCTTGGTTTCATTTCCTTTGAGGCAAATTTCTGTGAGCTTCACTAGTTTTGGACACATTCTTTTAACTTTGTTTTAGTTATTCTTTTTATTGACAACTTTTAGAATAAATTATCAGAAGTAGCAACATATTTACTTTGTTGTTAAAGGAACATCATATTTTTCTTTCACTAACAATACGAGAAATACATTTTATTTCTTATACAATATGTCAATGTAATTTTATATTTTGATCGATAATGATAGCATACTCACGTATTTTTATTGATAATAACAATATATAACTTAAACCTTATGCAATGCTTGTTACAAATTGATGTTATCAATAAAACTTGTAAGTACATTGATATTTTAGTTGCATCCAAAAACATATGTTGTTATTGTAACTAAAAAATTATCTTTTATAATTATTAACCATATCGGTAGCACGTATGAAAAATGTAAACGTGTTAAAATTATTGGTATACATGTAGATTCATTGTTATTTAGCATGAAATGAAGCATATTACATATATTGATAACAAAAGTCAAATATGTTGCTACATTTAGCAGTTTATCCCTTTTAATTTATTAAATTATTTTTTATATACAAGATATGTAACCTCCAACGATGAACAAAGTCCCTATATCATTACCCTTGTCGTTGCTATAGACTATTGGAAACGACATGTCGTTGCTGCATGGTTTTTCATTTCGCTTTGTGCTTATAGCTCAAACATCAATGCTAAATACTTTGCCACTACAGAAAACCTTCTATCAACGACGATTTATGGTCCAATGTTGTAAGATTTTTTTCTAGGTATTTTTTATCAAAATATATATATATATATATATATATATATATATATATATATATATATATATATTTAAAATCATTTAAATCTTATACAAAAGAATCGAATTTCTTACAAAACCATCCAAATATAATATAAAAACATTCAATCCTAAAATCATTCATGTAACACCTCTTTTTGGGTGATTTTAACATGGTATTTAAAACATGTTTTAAATCTTTTAAAAGCGAGAATTTCATAAAGTTTTGAGGAAAATAAACGGTACCAAAAGTATTCAAGTTAATAGTTTCAAAAGTGAGGTATTATTAGGTATAAGTTCCTCACATCATTGGGCCTTGTAAATGTCCTTCACCTTTAGTATCTCGAATACTTGAACTTGGGCATACATCAAAATAAATTTGACAATGGATTTTCCTAGTGAAATGCATGAGGTCGATTCACTTAAAGTAAATGATGATGAACAATCATACTCGAATCAAACCCCCCAAAAACAAACACAAAAGGGCTTGTAGCTCAGCGGTATCCGGTGTTGCCCTCCCTCCTTGAGGTTGAGGGTTCAAGTCCCGTCGTGGATATAGGTGGATTTAAGGTGTAGTTTAGGAGTAGGTTAGATTTGTCATTTCAAAAAAAAATTAATTGTCAACACATTAAACTCATGAGTTTAATAACCCAAATCAAATCAAGGGTCATATATGTCTAAAAGATCAAGTGCAAAAGATATCATTACCAAAACACTTATAGTCTAACAATTTCTAATAAAGGTAAATCAAGGCTATAATATATTAAGATGCAATGCATGCAAATAGCCTATACTCGTGTCAATCTCAATAGTTAATCTCCTTGTTCGGTAAATATGACACTATGATGGTAGTTCATTCTTGATGGCTCAAAAAGATACTATGATGATAATCTATATCCTGTGTCTAGGGAGACACCACCCGTAACCCATACAAGCAGAAACTAACATCTAATTGAGCATGTGAAGATTATCTGAAAATCTACTCATAACTCAACACGCAAGGGATCCCAAGGACTTGACCACTCAAGTCACCCATCCTAGTATGTAACTAATATGTAGGATGCCAAAACCACTTTCAAAATAAATATTAGCTTTTCCAATCAAATCAGTTTCAAAATCTTGTTTAATGAATGCAACAAGTATACGAATTATTAAGCAACTAGCAATCAATTAATAGAAGCAATGCAATTGAAATCAGGTCAAATGGAAGAGTAAAACTCCTCAAACTAATAAATCTAATTTCAAAATAGTAGGTTTTACGCAACAAGTGACATGCCGCGCTATGCTTATGAATGTGTCGCGTTCCTAGGTTGCATCTTAACTTTGGGCATCATACTTATGTTACACATCACATACTACACATATATGTACCACATCTTGTACAACATAATACCAACATAGATTTTAACCACACTTTAAGTCATCTCAAATCCATTTAAAAAAGATGGCCTCTAAAGGTACAAATTAGGACAACCAATATGGACTTCCTAATACCATTATTAGTCATTAAGTTACATAAGATGCATTAACTTAATCCATTAAGTCTTTCACAATAAATCATGGCATTTATTGATCATTAAACTTCTTTTAATGGACTTAAGTGCTTAATGTGATCAATGACTCACTAGTGTTACTTAGAACATCCTAAACGTTTCAATCCAAAATTTATTATAAAGATAAAGTTTAATCCATTCCAATATATCTTAACTTCATAAGAAGATTACAATTCATTTTTTTCTTCTAAATTTCATAATTTTCCGATGTGGCTAACAATCCTTACAACCATTTATGGAATAATGGATTCATCATGTTTTTGCATATAATTTAATATCAATGTATTAATCCTCTTCATCATAAACCATCAATAAACAATTGTAGAAGCTTAATATATATATATATATATATATATATATATATATATGTGTGTGTGTGTGTGTGTGTGTGTGTGTTTATACAGACACGCATACATACATCCATATCCATATCCCAATCGCTTGATTCTCTTACTGCTTTTAGTATGTGCATTACTTGAAGGATTATTGCATCAAAACTACTTTAATGATCATAGGATTCTTTAGGGAATAATTTGATAATATTTACATTATCAATGTGATCTAGGGTTTATGGTGAGATTAACACTTAAACACTGAATCTATCAAGATGAATGCAGATTTGAGTTTAAAACCACATCAACCATCATATAAGTGTTAGAAAACAAAACCCTAACCCTCAAATAATCTTGAAATCGACTTTTGTTCCACTATATGCTTTTAATTTGAATTTAATGTAAAATGGGGAAGTGATTATACATTAAACCCCTAGATTCCTTCTGCTATTTGCACCAATTGAGTTAAACTTACTTGAACTCTATTCTAGAGGGTTATTCTACAAGAATGTTGTCATTTGAGTTCTTGAAAATCTATATTGGTCCTTTTTAAGGATTCCTTGGCATTGCAACATCATGACATTCATAGAGACTATTTGAATGGTCACATAGAAATCAAGATTTTGGGACATAAAAAATCATGGATCATATGTCTATGTTAGATATAATATGCAAGATACAAAAAAAGTTTACCTTAATATTAATCATACATAGTGAGAGCTATAAAATGGTTTAGAAATAAATAATATATTAATTACATCAATTATTATCTACCAATAACATAAATAAGTAAATAAATTTATTTTTTATTTATCAAAAAAATAAATAAAGTTAAGGAGGTTGTTTAACAATCAAATAAACATATGTATTTATTTAATTGGCAAATAATTAGATGGCCTGAGTTAGTTAAATTGGATGTTTTGAAAGACTTTTAGAAAGCCTACGTTGCATTGTAAGTATGTAAAAGAATGGAAGTTGTAAATACGAGAATAAGCAATAGTTAATATGCGTTTGGTTAACTAGAATTAAATGAAATTCGGTGGGAAAATAAATTCAATTTTACCATATTTCAGTGTTTGGTTCAACTATATATATATATATGATAAAATTGGAATTATAAATGAAATTTTTTTCCATCAAATAGAAGAAAGCACTTTCATTCAAGAAGATTTTGGAATTAATTTGCTACTATGAAAAAAAGTGACATTTTACCTTATTTCACAACATAACCTCTACCACAATCACTTACCGTTACCGCCACCACATCCACTTGCCGCCACCATCTACCACCGTCCACCTACCGCACCATCTACCACCACCACTGCCACCGTCACCCACTTATCGCCACCGCCAACATCTACCATCACAACCACCACCACCAGCCATCATCACTACCCACCCACCACCACTGCCACAACCATCGTATGGATACTGATAGTGACAATTAATCATAAGTGTCACCGCTGACATTAACAGAACTCTATATATATAAAGATACGATCCAAGACGCTCTATTAATTTTCATGTGTAAGTTAATCCGCTCTAGGATTGTTGGGGTCGAATGTTTTTGTGTTAGATGTCGAATGTGTCTAGGTCTTTCCAAGTATCGAATGTCTGTTTGTAAATTGAGTATAAGGGCATTTTT